CCCCTTTCTGAAATTAAATGCTACAGTGGTGGGCTGCTGGGATGTTCTCCTCAAATAGGATGTAAAATTTTACAATGTTATGGTCACTATTATGAAGTGCTTCAGCTATATTCATCCCTTAGACCAGATCCTGAACTCCACTTAGGGCTAAATAGAGAATTGCCTCTCCGCTTGTGGATTCCAGGACTAGCTGCTCCAATAAGCAGTCATTTAAGGTATCAAGAAACTTTGTCCCTGCATCCCGCGCTGAGGTGACATGTGCCCTGTCAATATAGGGATAGCTGAACCCCCCCCCCCCACTGTTACTGAGTTTTTTTATTTTTTGAGCCTCTCTAAGCTCCATGAGCTTTTCTCAGTCAGTATCACCATCCTGGTCTGGTGATATCCACACTGCTAAATTCTTATTATTATTCTATGGTACAGTTTGGTTCATTTAAGATTTTTTTCTTCAGTTGATTCTACGCATTCTTTCAAATATAGTGCCACTCCCCTCAAGGACGACCAGTTCTCTCCTCATCGGGTAAGTCTCAAATTTCAATACTGTGTTCATCTTTCAGAAATTGATGCACAAGTGGGTTGTACTATCCTGCATCAGAACTAGTACCATGGGACTTCTTTACTCACTGTGTGATTCCCTCACCACTCCCTGGGCCAAAATGACCTGCAGGCAGATTGTATAGGTTTCTGAAGTTTTTTTCCTATATTTTTTCCTGTATTTTACTCCATTTTCAGTGAACACAAGCGTCTCTCAAACCACTGGAAAACTATCTGTAAGTAAAGCAGAAAACTGCATCTGCCAGTTCACTGTATTGTAAAAATGACCATGTCTTGGAATATTCCAATGTCAATGAGAAAGACCAAGACATGAATTTGCTGACTCTAGTGTCCCTAGTTCATTTTCACTCCTTCTTTGGACTTTGCGCCACTTAGTCACCTATGACATTTGCATGCCTCTGCTCTTGGTTGATCTCTGGCTCCTATACCTGGCCCAGCTTTGGGACTCCTCCTGCTGTGATGCCTGCTGATGCTGGAGCAACTCAGCTAAGGGGGCTGGGACACGGAGGGCCAGGAGGCCAGGGCCCACTTTTTAAGGTGGTTCGGTTTTTCACTGGCTAACAGCAGGTGGTAGGGGCTTCAGGGGATGGGAGGTCGGTCTGTAGGAGAGGATGGACTCAGTAGGCGGTTGGCACAGGGCCATGAGGAAAGGAGAGTGGAGGAGAGGAAGGATTCAATGACCAGTAAGCAGGAGAGTGGAGGAGAGGAAGGACTCAGCTAATGGCAGGTGTGGGAAGGAATGGGGGAGCAGGATGGAGGACAGGAGGGACTAAGCAAGCTGCGGGTAGTGGGGCCACAGAGGAGGGGGTGGAGGAGAGGACGGATTCTGGATTAGATGCAACACCGTGGGGAACGGAGGGCCCCATGGGGCAGTGGAGGAGGGGAGAGGCTCGGTGAGTGGTTGGTTGTGGGGTCCTCTCAGGGAAGGAGAGGAAGGATTCAAAGATAAGCAAAGAGGACCTCGGCAGAGGGGCAGAGCAGGGATAAGAGGAGGTGGAGTGTGAGTGGGACCATGGAGAAAAAGCAGGAGGGGGAATCAGGGTGGAGTGCAGGCTGGGACACCACAGCCCAGGTGTCCCCTCTCTCAAAGGCGGCAGGTTGGGGGCTGCACAGCCGAGGGAGGTTTAGCCTCCCCTGGCCTATTATACCTGCTGCCTAACTGGGCCACTTCCTACCACCTCCCTGCGAATGTCCCAAGGTCTCCCTCTGGGGTAAAGCAGCATGAAGGGTGTCTGCTCACCGCAAGGAACCTTCTGGTGGTGGCATGTAACAAGGTCTTACTCCTTTCTTCTCAGGCAGCAATGGCCTCTTCCTGTGGTGTGGCCCAACCTCCAAGGGCCAGCTCAGTCCCAGGGCTCTCCCCTGCTGGGATAGTCCAAAGAGCAAATAACGGGGATCAATCAAGTCCAGCATTCATATGAGAGATGAATGCTTCCCTCTCAGGCTGTGCCTGCAGCAGGCCCTCCCTTCCCTTACAGAGGGACCTTTGGGCAGTTGTTCAGGGGGAGATTCTGCCTTCCCTCTGATCCTCTCCCCTGGAGCTGCCAGTAGCGGGTCTGCTCTCCTCCCTGGTCTGCCATAAAACAAGCTGCTCCCCTGCCTTTTTGCCTTTCTCAAGCACTTCAGACTTGTTTTCTCTTCCCCATTTTCCTGTTAATTTACTTGCTGAATGTTTGGCTTCTTTTAACTCAATTTGAAATGTAGCGACAAACTCATTGGCTTTGGGAAGTAATCCTGCTGCTTCGTATAGGTCTGTGTCTTTAGATTGTAGCCGTTTTGAATGAACATTTCCCGTTTCCAGAATTTTTCAATGAGAAAAACAAAACTAAATTTTTCTATTAATTTCTTTAATGTTGGAGGCTCATAAACTTCATCGGCATTTTTGCTCAGGAGAATTATTTCTGTGGGTGCCTTCATTGTTTCTAAATACTGAATCTGAGAGGAAGGAGTGATTCATACTGGTTGTTGATCAATTGTGTAGTCAATTGCTTAACCAAGCTTTCATTTGTTATGAAATAGGTTCAAGAGGCCAAATAAACGTCAGGTTTACTGTTCTAACCTCAAAATAGTACAGGAAAATATCAGTCCTGGGGAAGCCGTCTCTTGCAGTGATGTTACATTCACCTTACTCAGCAAGTGTGCTCCCTAAAGTTACACATTTCAGCTTTTATCATTCATATGAAGATTTCACAACTTACACATCTCTTTACACATCACTAAAATCCAACCCACCCATTTGTCCCAGTTTCCTAATGTAAGTGGGGAACTATTGTGGGGAACTTTCCTGGCTTCTGCATTACCCCAGGGAAATTCGCTGAGGAAAGGGTCTGAATCCCCACTCCCTTTTCCCACAGACCTGCCTGACCTCAAGGACTCCCCTTCCACTCTCCTGTGTGGCAAAATCCTCATAATGGTGACACGACTGGGCCCAGGATTCCTGGGAGGCTTAACCCCCAGTCTCATCATGGTCAGTTAGGGACAGGGGCTAGGGTGTCCCCACTCCAAGGTACTCTCTTCACACTGGACGCTTCCCTGACCCCCGATCACTAAATTAAGTTCAAACCAAATATAATTTATTAAACAGCAACTGTAAGAACAATAAACAAAAACATGGGAAAGGTTCACGGAAACAGGAAACCCCGCTCTGTGGGCACGGGTACATCACAAAGAGTCCTCTCTGGGATGCAAGGAAAGATCATAGTCTGGTCCACTCCAAAATCAACTGCGCAAAGCAGAAAGTTATTTTTACTCAAAGGTGATGTCGTAGTTAAATACAGCAGTCCAGTTCTCAAAAACACACAGGTTTCAGAGTAACAGCCGTGTTAGTCTGTCTTTGCAAAAAGAAAAGGAGTACTTGTGGCACCTTAGAGACTAACCAATTTATTTGAGCATGTGCTTTCATGAGCTACATCTCACTTCATCGGATGCATACCATGGAAACTGCAGTAGACATTATATACACACAGAGACCATGAAACAATACCTCCTCCCACCCCACTGTCCTGCTGCTAATAGCTTTTCTAAAGTGATCATCAAGTTGGGCCATTTCCAGCACAAATCCAGGTTTTCTCACCCTCTGCCCCCACCACACAAACTCACTCTCCTGCTGGTAATAGCCATTACCAGCAGGAGAGTGAGTTTGTGTGTGTGGTTTTTTGGAGGGGGGTAAGGGAGTGAGAGAACCTGGATTTGTGCTGGAAATGACCCACCTTGATTATCATACACATTGTGAAGAGAGTGGTCACTTTGGATGGGCTATTACCAGCAGGAGAGTGAGTTTGTGTGTGTGTGTGGGGGGGGGGGGGCGGAGGGTGAGAAAACCTGGATTTGTGCTGGAAATGGCTCAGCTTGATGATCACTTTAGATAAGCTATTACCAGCAGGAGAGTGGGGTGGGAGGAGGTATTGTTTCATGGTCTCTGTGTGTATATAATGTCTACTGCAGTTTCCACGGTATGCATCCGATGAAGTGAGCTGTAGCTCATGAAAGCACATGCTCAAATAAATTGGTTAGTCTCTAAGGTGCCACAAGTACTCCTTTTCTTTTTGCAAAAACACACAGTTTCACAACTCTCCCCAGTAAGCTCTAGTAGAATGTCCTCAATTCCTACAGCAGCTTTCCTGTATTAGGACTTTCCAACTGAAACATTAGGATTATCCTCCAGGTTTCCTGATGGATTCAACGTAGAAAAATCAGGTAAATTTTGCTCATCAGATCACTGTACATATGATAAAGAAGTTCAGCTTTGCCATTTCTTTCTTTTTCTCTTTGGCTATCTGAAAGTGTAGCTTCTCTTTGTAAAACTGAACAAGAACCATGACCGCACAGAACCTAATGGAAGACCACTTTGCATCAAAATGCTACAGTATTTTATGGTAGTCTTAGGGCAGGTCAACACTACAGCTGGGATCGACGCTCATAAATCAATCCACCGACGGTCAATTTAGCGGGTCTAGTAAAGACCGGCCAAATCGACTGCAGATGGCTCTGCAGTCAACTCCCGATGAGAAGAGTAAGATAAGTCGATGGGAGATTTTCCCTCCTCAACTGCCCCGTGGTGTAGACTACATGGTAACTTGACCTAAGGTATGTCGACTCGAGCTACATTATTCACATAGCTGGAGTTGTGTAGAGTAGGTTCACTTACCGTGGTAGTATAGACATAGCCTTAGAATCACAGAAAGGCTGAGTAACAGGGTGTGTGGGGAGGTAGGCTGATGGGTGACAATGAAAGAGGTCAGGTGATGGTCAGAGAGATGGAACTCAGCAATAGAAAGAGCAGTGCTTAATGATGGAGTGACAAGATATTGGGTAGGAGGAACTTCTCAGACTGTGAACTTCCATAATGGTTAGCTCAACCAAACTGGGACAGGGTGCCCTTGATTAATGAAGAGATATGCTTTCCCCCTCTAGTCACCCAGTTTAAAGTCAGTGACCACAGGCGATCACCTTCTGCAGGTGTATTTGCCTACTTTGTCACGAAGCTCTTTGGTTTTGACCCCATAAATGATAGGATTGAGCATCGGAGGGATAAGGAGATAGATGTTGGCCAAGATGATGTGAATGTAGGGAGAGATGCCTTGACTGAACTGGTGTGTGATATTGGAGAAGAGGCCAGGGGTATAATATGTCAGCATCACACAGATGTGGGTTGTGCAAGTGTTGAGGGCTTTCTGGTGGGCTCTCTTAGAGGAGATTCTGAGGACGGCCCTGATGATCAGACCGTAAGACAGGGCAATGAGCGTCAAGTCTAACCCATTGATTACAAACATTAGCACCAAGCCATATATCCTGGTGACGGTGATGTCCCCACACACCATCTTTGCCACAGCTATGTACTCACATTGCGTGTGGGGGATAATGCAGTTGGCACAGAATGGCTGCTGACTCACAAGCAAGGGTAGAGGCAGAATGAAGAGAACAGCTCTTATCAAACCTGCAAGCCCTAGCTTAGCTAGTCGTGCATTGGTGAGGATGGTGGCATATCTCAGAGGGTTACATATGGCAATGTAGCGATCGAAGGCCATTGTCACGAGGACGGCTGAGTGCATAACAGAAACCATGTGGAGGAAGAACATCTGGGTGAAGCAGCCAGCCACAGTAATACCTTTCAAATTGAACCAAAATATACACAGTGCCTTTGGTACGACAAAGGTAGGTGTTGCAATATCTGTAAGCGCCAGCATGCAGAGCAGCAGGTACATCGGCTTGTGCAGGGTCTGCTCCTTACCTACAACAGACAGAAGTGTGAAATTTCCCAACAGGCTGATAATGTAGAATGTAGCGAAAGGGATGGAAATCCAGATATGGGCAGCCTCCAACCCAGGAATGCCCATTAGGATGAATGTTGAAGGGTCAGAGGAGGTGAGGTTGAAAGCTGCCATGAGGTGGTTGATGCGTCGATACAACTCAGAAATGCTCAAGGTGCCTGTGAAGGGACAGAAGCACAGCAAAGGGGGTTACATACTTTATAACAAATAGTAGGGTAAATATTTTATAGTTATTAACAATCTAGGAGTCCTTGTGAGTGGGGAGTGAAGAACCACTGATAATGTAACTCCCTGCCTTATATAGCTTTAACATATGGCGGGAACCCTTTGTTTCAAAACTTGGTTCCCAGATCAGTTTGTGGGAAAATTACAGACTCCCCAGGCTGGAGTCCAGAGTTATGTGGCCTGGTCACATGCCCTTGTAGAGTCATAACATCCATTACTTATAAGCTGTCTGACGCATTCTCAGGGAGGCTCACAAGGTGGGAGATAAGTTTCTCTTAAGGCCTGTTGTTTCCCCCAATGGCTCATTGCCCTGAATAGGCCTTTCTCAACCAGCTATCTAGACTGAAAGCATCTTGCCTAGTGGTCATTACCCAGGTGTAACTACATTTGAAAAACAGATAAGTATTCAATATTCATAACTTCAGGCAAAAATCATACATGCATACAAATAGGATAATCATATTCAGAAAGTCATAACTTTTCCAATGGCATATTATAGAATCATAGACTTTATGGTCAGAAGGGACCATTATGATTGTCTAGTCCGACCTCCTGCACAACACAAGTCACAGAATCTCACCCACCCACTCCTGTAACAAACCCCTAACCTATGTCTGAGCTATTGAAGTCCTCAAATCGTGGTTTAAAGACTTCAAGGTGCAGAGAATCCTCCAGCAAGTGACCCATGCCCCACACTGCAGAGGAAGGTGAAAAGTCCCCAGGGCTTCTGCCAATCTGCCCTGGAGGAAAATTTCTTCCCGACCCCAAATATGGCAATCAGCTAAACTCTGAGCATGTGGGCAAAACTCACCAGCCAGACACCCAGGAAAGAATTCTCTGTAGTAACTCAGATCCCACCCCATCTAACATCCCATCACAGGCCATTGGGCATATTTACCTCTAAAAGTCAAAGATCATTTAATTACCAAAACCATGTTATCCCAACACACCATCCCCTCCATAAACTTATCAAGCTTAGTCTTCAAGCCAGATAGGTCTTTTTCCCCCCACTGCTCCCCTTGGAAGGCTATTCCGGAAATTCACTCCTCTGACGGTTAGAAACCTTCATCTAATTTCAAGTCTAAACTTCCTGATGGCCAGTTAATATCCATTTGTTCTTGTGTCCACATTGGTACTGAGCTTAAATAATTCCTCTCACTCTCTGGTATTTATCCCTCTGATATATTTATAGAGAGGAATCATATCTCCTCTCAGCCTTCTTTTGGTTAGGCTAAACAAGCCAAGCTCCTTGAGTCTCCTTTCATAAGACAGGTTTTCCATTCCTCAGATCATCCTAGTAGCCCTTCTCTGTACCTGTTCCAGTTTGAATTCATCCTTCTTAAACATGGGAAACCAGAACTGCACACAATATTCCACCTCCTTATCTCTACTGGAAATACCTCGCCTGATGCATCCCAAGACCGCATTAGCTTTTTTCAAGGCCATATCATATTGGCGGCTCATAGTCATCCTGTGATCAACCAATACTTCGAGGTTCTTCTCATCCTCTGTTACTTCCAGCTGATACGTCCCCAGCTTATAACAAAAATTCTTGTTATTACTCCCTAAATGCACGACCTTGCACTTTTCACTATTAAATTTCATCCTATTACTATTACTCCAGTTTACAAGGTCATCTAATGTTCCTGTATGATATCCCAGTCCTTCTCTGTATTGGCAATACCTTCCAGCTTTGTGTCATCCACAAACTTTATTAGCACATTCCCATTTTTTGTGCCAAGGTCAGTAATAAAAAGATTAAATAAGATTGATCCCCAAACCAATCCCTGAGGAACTCCACTAGTAACCTCCCTCCAGCCTGACAGTTCACCTTTCAGTGTGACCCGCTGTAGTCTCCCCTTTAACCAGTTCCTTATCCACCTTTCAATTTTCATATTGATCCCTATCTTTTCCAATTTAGCTAATAGTTCCCCATGTGGAACCGTATCAAATGCCTTACTGAAATCAAGGTAAATTAGATCCATTGTGTTTCCTTTGTCTAAAAAATCTGTTACCTTCTCAAAGAAAGAGATCAGGTTGGTTTGGCACAATCTACCTTTTGTAAAACCATGTTGTATTTTGTCCCAATTACCATTGACCTCAATGTCCTTAACTACTTTCTCCTTCAAATTTTTTCCAAGACCTTGCATACTACAGATGTCAAACTAACAGGCCTGTAGTTACCCGGATCACTTTTTTTCCTTTCTTAAAAATAGAACTATGTTAGCAATTCTCCAGTCATCCAGTACAACCCCTGAGTTTACAGATTCATTAAAAATCCTTGCTAATGGCTTGCAATTTCATGTGCCAGTTCCTTTAATATTCTTGGATGAAGATTATCTGGGCCCCCCGATTTAGTCCCATTAAGCTGTTCGATTTTGGCTTCTACCTCAGATGCGGTAATATCTACCTCCTTGTCCTCATTCCCATTTGTCATCCTACCATTATCCCTAAGCTCCTCATTAAAGATTGAGGCAAATTATTTGTTTAGATATTGGGCCATGCCTAGATTATCCTTAACTTCCACTCCATCCTTAGTGTTTAGCGGTCCCACTTCTTCTTTCTTTGTTTTCTTCTTATTTATATGGCTATAGAACCTTTTACTATTGGTTTTAATTCCCTTTGCAAGGTCCAACTCTACATGGCTTTTGGCCTTTCTCACTTTATCCCTACATGTTCTGACCTCAATAAGGTAGCTTTCCTTGCTGATCCCTCCCATCTTCCACTCCCTGTAGGCTTTCTGCTTTTTCTTAATCACCTCTCTGAGATGCTTGCTCATCCAGCTTGGTCTACAACTCCTGCCTATGAATTTTTTCTCCTTTCTTGGGATGCAGGCTTCTGATAGTTTCTGCAACTTTGACTTGAAGTAATTCCAGGCCTCCTTGGCCTTTAGATCCACAAGTTCTTCAGTCCAATCCACTTCCCTAAATAATTTTCTTAATTTTTTAAAGTCATCCCTTTTGAAATCAAAAACCCTAGTCACAGATCTATTTTTGTTTATCCTTCCATTTAGTTTGAACTGAATTAGCTCATGATCGCTCAAACCAAGGTTGTCCCCTACAACCATTTCTTCTATGAGGTCCTTATAGTACATGACTCATCTTGCATAAAATGTATCATAATTATGCTATAAACTATAATCATATCTTAATAATATCCCTATGAACAATATGGGGTACAGTGTCACAAAAATATCAATGGTTATTTCTACCAGTGAAATGTCTGAAGTTACATAACAAAAACAATTGGAAGCAAAACTGAGTAAAGTTTGTGACACCCAGACAGCAGTTCTGTGGCTTGCCAGGGCAAAGAGACCCTGAAACTCCCCAAACGCACTCTGTACCAGGAAAGGTCCCAAAGCTGGCCTTGGACCAACAATCACAATGAAAAAAAATTATTTCAGCAGCACTGCCCACCCGTCTGTCTACATGCTGCTCTGCAACCCTGTGATGTTCCCCTCTGGTGTTATCCAGACCAGTGATCTGCTAGGTCACTCCTATCCTTGACTCCTGAAGCCAGCCTTACCCTGCTCACCTGTGAGATCCCCCACTCCTGGGCTGTTTACGTACAGTCTCTGGCATGTAAGCAGTTCCTTGGATTGTGCAGCTGAATGACAGTAGCCAATATATCCAGTCCAAGACACAACCCTAGGAACCTCCGTCTTGCAGTGTCCAGTTATGCCCATGGGACGCTGCAAGCTTATATGAGTTTGTCAATTTAACAAAAGAATTGATATGCACCAGGCTTTTTATCCCAAGGGGAGTCTCTAACACACTTCAAACCAAACACACTGCTTCAGGTAGACTAAACAAACAAATTTATTAACTACAAAGATAGATTTTAGGTGATATTAAGTGATAGGCAAAAAGAGTGGTTACCAAAAATAAACTATAAGGACTCAGTCTAAACTCTCAACCCTATTAGACTGGGCAATATCTAGATTAAGCAGTTTTTCTCACCCCACTGGATGTTGCAGTCCTTAATATACAGATTTGTTCCTTAAACCTGGGTCTTGTCTTCTTCTCGGTGTCTTAGCTGCTTACAGCGAAGGTGGGGGCAGAAGAATGGCACAGTCTGTTTTATACCCTCAGTCCATGTTCTTGGGGAGCACAAGTCCAGGCATTTCTGGGGGGTATTGCTGAGTCTCTCCAAGCAAGGTTAAGCAATTCCCTTTGCGGGGCCTCATGCAGGTGAGTCATTGCATTGGAGCTCCCTTGCTGGACAATGGCTGTTGATGGATTGTTTGACACCCTGCCCGGGCTTTGGTTACTTTCCTTGCTGTTGCCTCTGGGGGTCTAATATCTGGCTGATTCCCCAATTTACAGCATGTTTTAGTGATCACCATACAACACAATTCTCATATCTCCATATGCATTAATGATACACATGTATGGATAGAGACATGACTTTCAGCAGATCATAACCTTTCCCCGATACCTTACAATGTATGCTTTATATGTAAGATCATGATCATATGAAAATGAGGAATATGGGGGTTACAGTACTGTCCCTGAAGGTATAGAATGTCACACCTCCCCCAACAAATCTTTCATTTTGTTTACATATTCCCCATTACTCATCCCAATATCACGCTTAAGTTTCCTTAATTTAACTCTATATGTTTCAGGGGTAATATGAAAACTTCACAAAACAGTATCTTTAAATTTACAATAGTCTAAAGCATCTTCAATAGCCATTCCATTGAATACATTTCGAGCTTTACCAGTTAATTTTGCAATCAGGGTAGGAACTCTCTTATCATGTATCACACACAGCCTGTCGAAGGCAGTCAGATATTCAGCAATATCATCATCTTCACTGTCTGCAGGACATGAGTGTTCCCATTTGTGGATTTTGGGAGTGATGGGAGTCATTGGGGGCTGGGGCCT